TGATACATTAAACACTAAAGACTGAAAACCAGAAGAGTTGTGGGATGACATCAAGTGTCGAGGACCGGCCTCGACAAAGGGGTTCAGTTCATGAAGTTGGGAGATCTGGTGGCGACAGAGATAGAGAAAGAATACACACAAAGGCACAAAAAGAGAGAACACGAAACACCCCGAAACCAGAGTGGATGCGACACTGGCGGGCGGACCCTGGACTACCGGCATCGTGGCCCCTGCAGGCAGTAAAGCACCGCCTTGCAAACCTTAACGCATGCCTTGCCAGCTGTAATGCCTCGCATGCCAGTCGTAACGCATGCGGGCTTCGGTCTGCGCCCAGTTTTATTTCGGGGAGGAGCTTTACACAAAGGAAGGTGGGGCTTATTAAGACGGGGTACAGAAGTGAAATGTGATTAATCGTTCAACACAGGACACAATGATTTACAGGAATCAAATTCTAGAACATACATCACAAATTGTCTTGATAATCTAACCTCCTTAATTTTCCAGAAATTCAAGCAAATTTATTATATGGTACTTTTCAGGTTCGAATCCCAGGGCAGCAACTCGGTTTCTCAAGCCTAATTAACATACCTATAGCACCTAATCTCGGATGGGGGAAGGTGAAAAGGATTGAGAGGAGTCCCGCTGTGTCTGCTGCCTGGCCATGTTTTGCAGGAGGAAGCAAGACACCTAGCTGCAGAGTTTGCACCTGGGGTCGAACAGAGAAGGCAGCCACCTATTGTTCTTTAGATAAAACCCCAGAAGTCGCCAATCTACTTCTGAGTTAATTCCTTGGGAGAAACTTGCCCTTGGAACTTCCCAGCTTCGGCTTTAGGAGCAGTTTGTTGTTTAATATTTGTCCATGGGTATCAAGGGCTCATGTATTAAGTTAATATCAAACATAACTAAATAATTTGATAAAGAACAGTTTGGACGAGCGTGCCCAGTGGCCAGAGTCTGTTCCTCAGAGAGATTTGTTCCCAGAACACCTTAAGCACTGCCAATACAGTGGAGACATTGAGAGAGGCACATTAGGAAACCATTTTCTCAGAGGCTACAGTTACAGGGGTTCAAAGCAGAGCAGGAATTAATAGGACTAAAGAGAATTATACAGAGCTAGCCCCACAGTGAGTTCATAAAAGCCAATGAACCCGGAACGTCCGGAGGTTACTTCCTTGAGCCCACAGGGTCTCTGGCCAGCAAGTCTGAGTGCAGCCACATGCTGGATTTTCGTCCATGACACTGGTCCTCAACACCCCAATACCTGCAATCTGCAACGATCAAGAACATATGTGAAGAGAATAAAAAGTCATTAAGAAGACAAGAAAGAAGGAAAAGGTCAAAATGAATGTCAGAAGAGACTCTGAAGCTTGCTTTCCAGTGTAGAGATGCTAGAGAGAATATAGAATGGAAGAATTGAAGAGATCCAAGAGCTGAACAGAAAATTTCAAAGATCATCTGGAGAAGATAAAACCAAATACTATAATAAAATGTGCAAAGATTTGGAATTAGAAAACCAAAAAAGAAAGAACACGGTCAGCATTTCTCAAGCTGGGGGAACTGAAGAAAAAATTCAAGCCTCGACTTTTGTTATTGAAAGATTCTCTGGGCAAATTATTGAATGATGCAGAATGCATCAAGAAAAGATGGAAGGAATACTCAGAGTCATTGTACCAAAAGGAAATGGTTAATGTTCAACCATTTCAAGAGGTACCATATGAACAAGAGCCAATGATACTCAGGGAGGAAGTCCAAAGTGCATTGGAGGAATTGGCAAAGAACAAGGCACCAGGAATTGATGGAATAAAAATTGAAATCTTTCAAGAAAGTGAGGCAGCACAAGAGGTACTCGCTCATCTCTGCCAAGAAATTTGGAAGACAACTATCTGGCCGACTGATTGGAAGAGATCCATATTTGTGCCCATTCCAAAGAGAGGTGACCCAACGGAATGCAGAAATCATCGGACAATCTCTTTGATACCTCAAGCGAGTAAAGTTTTGCTAAAGGTAATACAGAAACGGCTACAATCATACATTGATAGAGAACTTCCAGAGGTTCAAGCTGGATTCAGAAGAGGCCGTGGAACGAGAGATATCATTGCTGATGTCTGATGGATCTTGGCTGAAAGCAGAGAATATCAGAAAGATGGTTTACCTGTGCTTTATTGACTACGCAAAGGCTTTCGATTGTGTGGCTCGTGACAAGCTATGGACAACATTGCGAAGTATGAGTATTCCAGAACACTTAATTGTACTTCTGAGAAATCTGTACCAAGAAGCAGTTGTTCGAACAGAGCATGGGAACACTGAATGTTTTAAAATTGGGAAAGGTGTGAGACAGGGTTGTATTCTTTCACCATACTTATTCAACCTGTTTGCTGAGCAAATAATACGAGAAGCTGGGTTCTATGAAAAAGAACTTGGCGTCAGGAATGGAGGAAGACTCATTAACAACCTGTGATATGCAGATGATACAACCTTGCTTGCTGAAAGTTAAGGGACTTGAAACATGTACTGATGAAGATCAAGGAACACAGCCTTTGGTATGGATTGCATCTCAATGTCAGGAAAAGAAAAATCCTCACCACTGGACCAAGTGTTGAAGAGCAAGGATGTCAGCTTGAGGACTAAGGTGCGCCTGATCCAAACCATGGTATTTTCAATAACCTCATATGGATGCGAGGGTTGGACAGTGAATAAGGAAGATGTAGAAGAATTGATGCCTTTGAATTGTGGTGTTGAAGGAAAATACTAAAAGTACCATGGACTGCCAAAAGAACCAATAGATCTGTTTTGGAAGAGGTGCAGCCAGAGTGCTCCTTAGAGGCCAAGATGGCTAAACGTCGTCTCTCATACTTTGGACATGTTGTCAGGAGGGCATAGTCGCTGGAGAAGGATGTCATGCTGGGTAAGATGGAGTGTCGGAGAAAGAGAGGAAGATCCCCAACGATACAGATCAGCCAGGTGGCATCATTGATGGCATCAAGTGTGACAGTGGTAGTGAGATTGGCCCAGGATTGGACAGTGTTTCTTTCTGCTGTGCATGGGGTCGCTATGAGTCGGTTCCGACTCGATGGCACCTGACAACAACAAAAACAACAACAATGAAGGTATTGTACCAGATTGTCTCTGAAGAACTTCAACATTGTTGTTGTTTGTAGGTACCATGGAGGCGGTTCCAACTCATAGTGACCCTACACAAGGTTTCTGAGGCTGTAAATCTTTATGGGAGCAGAACGCCTCATCTTTCTCCTGTGCAACCCCTGGTAGTTTCGAACTGCTGACCTTGAGGTTGGCAGCCTGACTCATAACCACTATGCTACCAGAGCTCCTTAGGACTCATGTATTACATATAGAGCATCAAAACTGATCTTAATAAAACCTAAATTTGACTGTTATTTCCTTGCATAAGTCTCAATGTCTCTTCCTTACCTATAAAGTTCAAGTCGCTAAATCAAAGTGGCATTCGGTCCCTACTTTATTTCTTGGACTATTTTGTAATTTAAACTTTACTCAAAAGAAATACCTAATTCCCCAAATCTGTAGCATTACATTCCCCTGCATACGTCTGCAGTGTTCTCTGCCTCCAGTGGCCTCTAATATAATTGCAGCTTCACCCCAGAGGGTCTTGAAGTGTCCGTTTAGGCATCACTTTTTTTCAGAAAGAATCTGACATATAAAAGTTGATACGGACATTGACAAATAATGGCAATGGTGACAACAGCTAACATTTATTGAGTATTTACTTGATATTAGGCAATATGCTTAGAACTTAGTAAATGTTATCTCATTTAATCCTTTAAAAAAAAACAAAACCTGAGGTGGGTACTATTGTCCCATTTTACAGATGAGGAAACAGGTTTAGAGAGATGAAGTAGCTTGCCCAAGGGCACACATCTTATGAAGCAAGGCCCTGGAAGAGGTGGGAGGAGATGGGTCAAGGTCATTTGGAGGAGTTAACCTCAGACAAGAGGAGGGACAACTCATCATCTGAGACTGGAGGATAGAAGGTAAAGATGGATGTGGATAGAAATAAGCTTTTGCACAGGGATAAAGGTAGTGAGAGACATTCTGCCAGGTGCCCTGGCAGATGACCAGTTCATCAAAATTAGGCAAAAATGTTGAGAGTGAAGAGGTTTGAGATTGTATATGAGGCTAAAACATTGGAATCGTGTTTTAAGGGAGAAAGTTGTTTTAAGTAAAAGGATTTGTAATGGTACAAACTCCCTATAGTTGTGATTTTTGCTTTGTTTTGTTTTAACGCAGTAGTGCTCAGCCACCTAAATAAAGGACCAAAAAAAGATGATAGTATTGATTCGAGATTGATCGACGGTGATTTTGCTGGGCAGGTGCTGTGGAAGAGTAGGAAGTCTTGAGGAAAGTATAGTGAAAAGTAATAAATGAACTATGCTGGTCAGTGCTGACTATGGAAAGAAAAAAGAAGCCAGCAAGGAACTACGTAACTGACTTTGGAAAACATGAATGGATAAAAAAAAAAAAATGTGGCATACTTTTCATTATTTGTCATTTAAGTAAGTGTGTTTGTCGAAATTCATACGATCACTGGTCCTTTTTACTAGGAGGCTTCAAAAGTTAATAGAAAATGGAATGAGAAGATAACGGATATTTTTCTAAGAAGTTTACTTTTAAATAGCAGATGAAGTTGTAAATATGCTTTGTAATGACACAGTGTTAGACTTACAAAGTATCTTAAAGTCGGCTAGCTGCACTTCTTATTCAGCACTTGCTTTCTTGTAAACAATCCAAATAGGTGGTCATTAAGCAAAATAGATGATTTGGTGTAGGAAAGATTAGCATAAATGCTCTCCTTTTGACAGTGTGTTTTCTTCATGTGTGTTTTGTTTTGTTTTCACCAGCCCTCCTCCGATGTGCAGGATAAGCAGCAGCTCGGTACCTGGAGCCTGAAAGTCACACCTGTCGATTACCTTCTGGGAGTGGCTGACTTAACTGGAGAACTGATGCGCATGTGTATTAACAGTGTGGGCAACGGGGACATTGACACCCCTTTTGAAGTGAGCCAATTTTTACGTCAGGTGTATGATGGGTTTTCATTTATTGGCAACACTGGGCCTTATGAGGTTTCTAAGAAGCTGTACACCTTGAAACAAAGTCTAGCCAAAGTGGAGAATGCTTGTTATGCCTTGAAAGTCAGAGGTTCCGAAATTCCAAAACATATGTTGGCAGATGTGTTTTCAGTTAAAACAGAAATGATTGATCAAGAAGAGGGCATTTCTTAAGTAGCATGGCTTGGTTATTATTACTCTCTTGAGAATGCCTAAGAGAGACCATTTTAACTTGTAAGACTAATTCTAGTATTTCATTTATATAGACGTTTTCAGTTGTACTTATTTTAAATTGTATACAAGCTGTACATAAATTACTTAAATGAATTATTTCTCATATCTTACTCAGAAACAAGTTTGCATATAATGCTTTGTTTGCCGTTTTGCTGGTTAACCTTCATTATTTCTGTGAGGTAAACACGTTTTCCAGTTGCACTTTTGAACATACTTGCTTTCATTTACTCTGTCTGAATTGCAGAGTACTCATATTTAAAGGGAGCCATATATAATTTAAATTGGTGGCTTTGTTTTCTTGACAAGGATTCTTAAATGTACGTCTTGACTTGAGCTTCCTGTTTAAATTTCTTGATATTATTGTGCTAAGCTTCCAAAACAGGTTTATTTCATGAAAAAAGAAGTTAAACATTAATAAGTTGTTACTGTAAGTACCAGTTTTATGAGATATTGTAGTAAGAATTCATATTATATTCTGGCTAACTTTAAGCCATTGGAATTCATGTGACACCGCCTCCAGAAAAATTGCCAGGTTACTAGGGATAATTAGCTGCTTCACGTGTTTTCTGTCCTTTACCCCAAAAGGTCACATGAGGACTTGATCTAACTTGGGTCCACTGGTGTTTGCGCTGAATTATACTTGGAAACAGAACTGAAAGGCTTTTACATTATTTAGCTTTTAGTTTTTGTCATTATATTACATTAGGCATGTTTGGAGGCTTTCTTATTCTAGCATCTGTTAGAAATTACATTTAATTAATTGTGCAGAAATGTTGAGATTTTTGAAAATGCTAAGTTAATTCAAATGTTATAGTTGTTTGTGTTCATTGGTAGTATAAAAAGTTACCAAAGAAAACTTTTTTACCATGTACAGTTCAGCAATAAGACAGTTGTCAGCACAAGTGACAGTAACACAGTGGTCTCTAGTATCTGTCTAGTAAAGCTGGCCCCAGCTGATGAGCCTGTGATGTGTAACTGACTGGAGCATCATACTCCTGGCTGGTAACCAGACACTTCCTTTTGGTATTATGGGTTTTGAAAATCTAGATAATAGATTTTATTTTTGGAAGAATTTGCTTTCTTTGCAAAGGACTGCTTTTGTGAAATGAAAAATTTTCAAAACATCTACCTAAAGAGAAAATAAAACATACATATGCCTACTAAATTAGATTGAATGTTAGTTTTTTGTTTTGAGGGTAGTGGCTTTTTGTTTATTTGTTGCTGTTGTTATTTTAAGCCTTTGTTTTCTTATTCTAAGATGGTGGTGGGGATGTGCTGTCAAGTCAGTTCCGCTTCTTAGCAATTCTATATAGGGTTTCCCAGGTAAACTCCCATTATGCATTGTGGTTTCTTTCTATGACTTGAAGTTATTAAATCTGTAGTGGTAAAATACAATGATATGGGATTGACAGATGTTTTTCAGCTGTTTCAAACTGAAGTTTTTTAAATAAAATATGAAAACACAGAAGTTAAGTGTATTTTTTATCACATTGAGAAATAATGTGTTTTATAAATTTTTGATAAAAACAGGATACCTCTTACAGCCTGGAGTCCTGGTTTGGCGCTGTGGGTTAATGCATGGAATGCAAAGTCAGTTTGAACCCATCAGGTTGTCAGTTCAAGCGTATCACCCACTCTGAGGAAACCCTATACAGGGTCACTTAACAACAACAACAATATAGACTAGGACTTGCTTTGAGATGGTTTACAAATTGTCTAATTCAGCAGTTCAGTGATGTTGTTGTTGTTGTAAGGTGCCGTTGAGTGGGTTCTTTACTCATAGTGACCCATCGTACAACAGAAGAAAACATTGCCCAGCCCTGCGCCATCCTCACAAGTGAGTGTCCTTATGTTCGAACGTATTGTTGCTACTACTTACCAGTCCATGTCAATGGGGTCTTACTTGTTGCTGAGCGTACGCTTTACCAAACAGGGTGTTCTTTTCCAGGAACTAGCCCTTGCTGACAATATGTCCTAAGTATAAGAGACAAAGTCTCGCCATCATTGCTTGCGAGGAGCAGTCTGGCTGTACTTCTTCCAGCAGATTAGTTCTGGCAGACCATGATACTTCTGCTAATCTGTGCCAACACCATGATACAAATTTATCGATTCTTCTCCGGTCTTCCTTACTCATTGCTCAGCTTCTCCATGCTTGTTGTTTGGTGCCGTACAGTCAGTTCTGACTCATAACAACCATGCATATGCGAAAATACCATGGCTTGCTCAAGTCACCTTAGTGCTCACAGCGACATGAACATTGATTGTGGGTCCAAGTCAAATGAAATCTTTGACAACTTTAGCCTTTTCTCTATTTAACATGATGTTCGTTGTTGGTCCAGGAGTGAAGTTTTTGGATTTGTTTTTTTTTTACATTGTGGTGCAGTCCATACCGAAGGCTGTATTCTATGATTTTTGTCAGTCAGTGCTTCAAATCCTGTTCGTTTGGAGCAAGTAAAAAGACGACGTCATGTGCACATATCACAAGTTGTTAATGAATCTTCCTCTAGTCCTGATGCCACACTCTTCTTCATATAACGCTTTTGCTCAGAATGCAGAGTGAACAAGCACGGTGAAAGGCTACAACCCTGCACGCACACTCCGTGCCTAATTTTAAACTGTTCAGTATCCCACTGCTCTGCCTGAATGCCTGCCTCATGAACACAATTATGGGTAGTTCTTCAGTGCTTGGACCTCAGTCCTACCCAGGCTAGGTTCTCTCTGACATCTGAAAGTGGTCGAGAAATAGGGGTCGAATTGTGACACTCAATAAAATACTCAAAATGAGGTATCAAAAGCAGACTTAGGGAATTCCTGCAGCTGAACACAGTCTGTGCCCTGGATTGGAGAGAAACTGCTGTGAAGGACATCTTTGGGATATTTGGCAGAATTGAGGCCTGGACTGCGGTAGATACTTTTCCATGGTTCCTGAAGAGAATGTTGCTTCTCTTAAACTTAGGATGTGTTTAAGGGTAAAAGGTCAACATGTCTGCTGTCTCCTCTTCACTGGTTCAGCAATATTAGCAACAGTATACTGATAGTGTCGCTTAACACCCATGATGCACTCTGTAAGACAGGGTAGTAAGTGATTTTTGGACGTTGTGTGAACACGACTTTATGCACAGGTGGTCCTTGTGCACTCTGTGGTTAAGTCCCAGTAAGCCTACTACATGAAAACCTTACGGGAACCTGCTGGACGGAGCCAGAGACTTGTCGACACTGGACACAGGCCAGTACTGGCAGTTGATTGTGACTTTGCTCACATCTGGGTACCTGTGGGCGTCAAGTACATAAGAGGCAGAGAGAGGTGGCCCTGGAGAGGAGGAAGTGCCGGGCACGTGGCTGTGTGTGGCAGCCTTGGCTGGCGCTGCCGCTACCGCAGCCTTGCTGGCATAACCCTGTCCTGATCACTCAGCCACCAGCTCCTGAAATGAGGCACCATGTCAGGTACTGCCCTGTGCCAGGGTGAAAGGTTGCGTGGCTGCTGGTGGGGTGAGTGAAACCAGGTGGAGGTGGGGGCCAAGGAGCTGCAGGGATTGGGATATGTCTTGGGAACCCTGCTGCTAGTTCACTCTGAGGGTTTGGGGACATTAAAGCCTTGACGTGGAAATAATAGACAGCTACTTTCTCTAAGAAAAGGGACCCTGGTTGTGTCTGTGATCAGACGCTGCCAGAGTGGAGTGCACTTCAAGGGAGTACACAAGTCTAGCCCAAACCAGTGGGGCATGTGGGGTAGCAAGTGGAGCCTTTGTACCGTTCTTCCAACCTTCCTGGAAAGCTTTACAGTTGTTCAAAATGAAATGTTACATTGAGGAAAACAACCCTGGTTTAGGGAGGCAGAAAAGGCCTGGGTTCAAGGAATAAAGGGTAGCAGTCAAGTGAGAGCATGGAGGAACTGGGCACTCTCAAAGTGGATGGTCTGTACTGTAAATGTATCTGGAGGGGTGTGGGAGCAGATATGGACATGCAAAAATCCAAGGCAGCACATAGCTGCTTCATGTATGCTGTAATTCCATTTCTGTGTCTCTGACCTACATATTTCATGGTAACAGCAAATAAACTCAAGTGTATGTGTATCACATCTTTGCTTATTTATCATCTCTGTGTGTCTCTGCCCTGGGATCTACGTGCAGTTCTGTGGGGTAGCAAGAGAAGAGCCCTGACATGGGGATGTCAGTGAGCTCTCTATTTTAGCAAGACTCCTGTGGTTACTCAATGCCACCAAGTCGGTAGTAACCCTGAATATAGCAGTTCAGTGCTGATCCTACACCACCAAACCAGGACTTAAAGGCATGATAAATCTGGGGGGGGGTTGTCTAGTTTCGTTGGCGTATAATTGAGAAACTGTAAAGTATGCATAATCAAAGTGTATAATTGATCAGTTTTGATAAATTTATATGCCCATGAAACTGCAACTATAATCAAGATAAATACTTTCATTAACCCCCAAATTTCCCTTGTTCCCTATAATCCATGTTAGTACTATCTCTATCCCCAGACAACTACTGGTCTGCTTTCTCTCACTGTGTGTTACTAGCACCATGGATTAATGCACCAAACTGCAAAGCCGTTTGAACTCCAAGCTCACAAGCTGCTCCTCGGAATGGGTTACTGTGAGTCGAGACAGACTCCACGGCACTTAACAACAACATGTTACTAAACTTTTCATTGTTAGTGTTTGTTGCTGCATGGTGATAACGTGGAACATGAAAAAGTAAGCTGAGTGAGAGAATGGAACAATAAGAATTTAGAGTATTATGATGGTAAGTCAAAACTGTTAATACTAGAATTCCAGTTTATACATGCATAAGTTTATTCCAAATAAAATGTATTTATGTCTCTGCAAGCAATGGATGGTTGGAGGCAAGTTCTCTCAGTAGATCTTGTTTTAGTCTCAGGGTGCCTTCAAAAAAGAAAAAGAGAGCCTGCACAAAAAGCTGATC